GGCCCGCCCCTACCCACAGGCATCCCAGCTGGGGTGCAGGGCAGCCAGCAGAGGGGGGCTGTGGTGGGTCACAGACAGGCCTCTGGCAGTGCTGGCAGGGTGCTTGCCAGACTGGGCCCCAGGAGGGGCTGCTGGGGCTTCAGACAGAGCAGAGCCCAGGGTGGGGAGACTCGCAGACCCCCACCCAGTTCCCATCAGCACCCCAAGTACCGACTGCCTGCATGGGCAGGCAGGTACCGGAGGGGCCGAAACACCAGATTTTTCAGAATAAAGACCCACAGCCTCGGGGCCAGGTGATCAATGTGGGTGGTACGTGGTGGGTCCTGGGAAGCCTTTGAATAAGACATTCGGGGGTGGACATGTAGGGGTGGAGGTGGGGAGCTCCAGACAGAGGGCAGGCAAGGCAAAAGCCCAGAGGCAGCTTGGGCAGGGCCTGGGCGGGGAGGGCTTCTCCCCACGCCGCAGCGGTGGGGGCCCCACACCAGGCGCGAAGGGCACCCCGGGGACGCCGCCCCCTGCCTCCAGGGCCTCCAGGAAGGGCCCAGACCCCAGCGGGCTTCTGAGTAAGCTGTGGAAGCCTGGGCCAGGTGGGGACCCTGGAAGCACAGTTGGGGGCGATGGAGGTTCTGAGGGCGGGATCCCCTGCTACCCGCCCCCCGCCCTGGGAGAGTACCCCGAGACCCAGAACCTCCAGCTGTCCTTGCTGGGCGTGAACTACCCGCTGGGCCCTGGTCTCTTCTCTTACCTGGGCTCCTCACTGGCGGCCGCACACATGCCCTTCCTGGCCTCTGCCGGCCCGCTGCTGCCCCCTCCCCCGGCCTTCGCCGCCCCACAGGCCCCTGAGCGCTCTGCCCTGGCCCCCCGCCTTTATTACCCGCTGCTCCTAGAGCACAGCCTGGGGCTGCGGACTGGCAGGGCAGCCCCCCCAAAACCTCCCACCCCCCCTAGAGCGTCCCCTGGCACTCTGGCTGCCGGGGTCCTGAAGGTGTCCATGACGGGGGCGGGGAGTCCCTGGGCCCACGGCCCCCCTAGGAATCCGGGGCGGGAAGGGGCACTGGGGCAGGCTTCTGAGGAGGCTGCGAAAAGGAAGCCCCCTCCAGGAGGCAGGCTGGAGTTCCAGAAGGTTCCAAGCATAGCCAAGTTTGGTTACCAGAGCAGGTAAGTGTCAGGGGCCCTGATTCTCAGCGGGGGCTGGGTGGGGGCACCCGATAAGCCACAGCAGAGGACCCCAGGCTCTGATCCCCAAGTTATTTCTATCCAGAGGTGGCAGGGGAGTAGGGTGGGGGCGGGCCTAACCTGGGAGCCTAGGTGGGCAGACTCCTGACAGGTACCACCTATCCTCCCCTCCAGCCTACCATCTGGCCCTGCCACTGTGCTCTGCACTGGGAACAAGCAGGCCTTCAGCTCAGAGAGCCCGGGCCCGCCAGCCCTCCTCGCCCAGCCGCCACAGAGGAACCTGGGCCCTGGCAGCCCCATGCGTGTGGGGGAGGACCTGACCCGGGTCCTGGGTGACTACGCCCGTGTGGAGCAGCGTCTAGGCCAGCTGGCACCCTCAGGGGATCTGGCCCCGCGCCCCCTGCGGGAGCAGCTGGGCAAAATCCGCCAAGAGTTGCTGCACATTCACCAGGCCCTGGAGCAAGCCGTGTGCCCGCCCGACACACCCCTTGACCTCTCTGTCAAGCGGTTGCCCGCCAAGGGGCCCGAAACACCCTCTGGAGCCTGGGGGCCACCTGATCCCGGCCCTGCACTGGGTCAGGGGACCCCCGAGCCTCTGGGTGCACTGGGCCCCTCCACCCCTGAACCCTTCTCTGGCCAAATCACCAAGTGTGAGGCCGACTCCAGTGCCCCCCCACCAGGCCTGCCGCTGCCAGCCCCTGAGGATGGCATGCCCTGTGGTGGCTGGGGCAGCCGAGGCAGTGGGGCAATTGGGTCCCAGAACCCTGAGTCTGTCCCCAGCCTGCAGGTTCCCCGGGGTGCAGAGCTCTGACCTGGCACTGATGTCCCCATCCCACGCCATCTCCCTCAGCCCTCAGTGCTGCCCCAGCTCTCCTGCTCCCCTGTCCCCACACCCTGGACTCGGCTGGTCCCAGCATGCACCTGGCCAGACCGACCTGCCAGCACCAGGGCCTGTCTGGGGGCTCGCAGGGAAGGGTCTGGGTCACGTTATTTATTGCTCACGGTCTTGGATGCTGAAATAGAAGGCACGCTCTTCACCCTCCTCTCACTCCTTCTTTCTTGCCCGTGGCTAGACAGGGGGCCCAGGTGGGCGTGGTCCCCGGTGACAAGGTCCCCGGGTGGGCATGGTCTGGGGTGGTGGGCCTCCAAGTGGTGGGGTATATGGGTGTCCGCCATAGTGAGTGGGCCCCCAGGTGGACATGGCCTCCGAGTGGTGGGGTCCTAGGGTAGTGGGATGTCTGGGTGGAGGGGCTTTCAGACTTGAGGTGGTCTCAGATACCACTGTCCCTGACCTCTGGGCACCCATTTCTGGACTCTGATCCCCTTGTGCAGGCCAGGGCCTCCAAGGGTGGGGTACAACATGGACACCAGTGTGGGGCAGAAGTGTTGCCTGAGAGCAGATAAGGGGCCGGGTCTACACAGTGGGGGGCTAGCAGGGACAGCTCCAGCACAAGCACACCCTAAATCAGAGTCCAGTAGAAGGCTGTCTCCTGGAGGAGAGTGATGCCCCCCACCCAGGCTGTCTCCTGGGGCAGAGTTGCCCCTCTCCTTCTACACACACACTGCCTGTCTCCTAGTCTCTCCCCTTACCCCTGGGCAGCATGGCTCTGCTGTCCCCGCCAGGCTGCATCTATGGTGGAAGCCAGCAGCCTTCACACCTGGCTGCCTGCAGCCCAGCCTGGCTGCCAAGCCAGTCCCACAGGCTGAGGGTGGGAGTGGGGGAGGAGTCCCGAGACCCTGGGGCACAGTTGGTCCCCCTGTCCCCAGGGAGCTGGCTACACCCACCGAGCCCACCAGGACTGGCCCTGGGGCCCTCTCCTGCCTTTACCCACTCCCTGAGCTGGGACTGGCCGGGCTGAGGCCAGTCTGTGCAGGATGCCACTGCCCCATTAATTGTGATAGCATCAGGCCCGCCCCTACCCACAGGCATCCCAGCTGGGGTGCAGGGCAGCCAGCAGAGGGGGGCTGTGGTGGGTCACAGACAGGCCTCTGGCAGTGCTGGCAGGGTGCTTGCCAGACTGGGCCCCAGGAGGGGCTGCTGGGGCTTCAGACAGAGCAGAGCCCAGGGTGGGGAGACTCGCAGACCCCCACCCAGTTCCCATCAGCACCCCAAGTACCGACTGCCTGCATGGGCAGGCAGGTACCGGAGGGGCCGAAACACCAGATTTTTCAGAATAAAGACCCACAGCCTCGGGGCCAGGTGATCAATGTGGGTGGTACGTGGTGGGTCCTGGGAAGCCTTTGAATAAGACATTCGGGGGTGGACATGTAGGGGTGGAGGTGGGGAGCTCCAGACAGAGGGCAGGCAAGGCAAAAGCCCAGAGGCAGCTTGGGCAGGGCCTGGGCGGGGCTCACAGGGAGCGCACAGTCCAATTTCCATTTTACATCCTCTTCGGGCGGCTGCTCAAACGTGGCGCCTCAGCCCACCCCTGCCCCCCACTGTGCCCCATGTTTCTGTGGGAACCTGGCTGTTGGCCCCTCCCTTTCTTGGGTTGGCGGTGATAGAGGCTGTGTGTGTGGAGCCCTGGAGCTCAAGGCGGGGACCCTCCCAGTCCCTGGGATGGAGCAGGTGAGGAGACCTGGAGGGTCCTTAGGGGAGGCTCCACGGCCACTCCCAGCAAGGAGACTTTGTCTGCAGGTAGGAAGAGTTACACAAATATACGCCTCACTCTCCATACACACACTCAGAATGCTCGGCTGAAAGCCTTTCCCGCCAAGGGTCCCCTAGAAACTCCAGGGGACCCCATCTGGGGAAACCACCTCCAGACACAGGGGCCATGGGGCGGGGACTCTGAACCTGGTCAGGATTGGTTAGGGGTGGTGCACAGGCAGGGCAGCTACAGTTCTGGGCTGGGTGTGGACGAAGGGCTTGAGTTCCCCTCCCGAACCCCTGCGGTCCCAGCAGCATAGATCCCCAGCAGACAGCCGCCTGCCTGACCCTCTGGCCTCCTGGCCCTCCTCCCCTCTCTCTGGAGCAGCCTGGGCCTGAGAGGCCCACAGGGGCCCCCTTAGTCTGCTCTACACCCACATGCACCTGGAGGGCTGTGTGGCGGCAGGAGGGGGGGTGGGGAGTGAGAGTCCCTCGGGTCTCTCAGGTTTGCTAGCTGGGCACCTGCCAAGGGTCGGCTGTGCACACCTCCGGCTGCCTCCTGGGCATGAATTGTGCATCCAGGGTCACGCACAACTTGACACAGTCCTGCCTTCCAGGCCCAGGCACCTCACCCAGGCTATGAATGGGGACCTTGCCCTGAGTGAGGGCTTGGGTGGCACCAGTCACACCCAGGTGGCAGGGTAGAACATGTCTCATTGTGTCCAATGAACAGAGGCCCCAGGAGACCCAGTTCTTCCAGGTGGGGGTGCAGGTCGGCCTGGAGTCTGAGGGCCTGAGGCAGCCCACTGGTATGAGCTGCACGCCCCAAGGCCAGCTCCTGGTGGTAGGCACTGGGACAGCTACAGGGTGTCCAAGTGCCTCTCAGCAAACAGGGCTGAGTGGGGCAGCCCAGGACCCAGCTTTAGCCAGTGACTGCCGAGCACCTTCACCGCTGAACTAGCAAGAAGGGCTGGGACCAAACCAGAAACTGCAAACAGCTGTCTTTACCCCCCTTCTCCTGCCCCCGTCCCCCAGCACCGTCCTCGGCCAGCACCCACCCCACAACCTACAGCCCGTGCCTCCCTCTCTGTCTATGGCCCATGTCTCCTTCCCCATCCAACACTGTACCCCTGTTCACCACCTTACCTCCCCCAGGGTCCACAACCTTTGCCTCCCTCTCCATCGATGGCCCACGCCTACCCCCACCCCCTCCACAGCCTGTGCCTCCCCTGCCCGCCCATGGCCCGTGTCTCTTCCCTCTCCACAGTCTGTGTCCCACCCTGTCCATGACCTGTGCCTCCTCCCACCCATAGTCCACGGCCTGTGCCCCCCCCCCAACCTGTGCTCCCTCTGTCTATGACGCGTGCCTCCCCTATGGTCCACCACCCGTGCCTCCCTCTGTGTTCACGGCCTGTGCCCCACCTTCATTGCTCCCACCAAGCCCTGGGAGCACCTGCCACGGAGATGCAGGCTCGTTAGCCTGAAGTGCTGCAGCCAGCTTCCCCTCTACAGGTCAGGAAGAAAGAGGTTTTCACGTGGAAGACGCACCGATGAGGAGAGCACAGGCGTGTCTTTGTAGCATCCTGGTTGAAATCAGAATGTGTACAGAATACATAGATCTACACCTTTTGCTTTGGAGTTTACACTTTGGGGAGAAGAGTATAGATATTGTACTTTAACTCGGGTTTCAGGGAAACACGGTGGACTGCGAGCAAGCAAGCAGCACAATAAGGCTCCCTGAGGCCTAGCCAGTCTCAGGAGGTCTTCAATGACTGACTAGATAGCAGGGCCCAGCTTGTCATCAATAAACCCAGACAAACTCACTGCCGTTGAGTTGGTGCCGACTCATAGTGACCCGATAGGACAGGGCAGAACCGGCCCGTGGGTTTCTGAGCCTGCAGCACTTGAAGGGGGTAGAAAGCCTCGCCTCGCTCCCTTTCATCACTAAGAGGCAGGTAAATGAGACTCTCCGCATTCTGGGCCCTTTTAGGTGATATCCGCAGCCAACCTGTCTGCTTTTGAGCAGTGCAGGGAGTTAGAAAGCTTCCACAGAGACTGCATTCAGTAAAGCACCTGAGGCCAACGGCACTGTGTAAGGGGGATTTTTCCTACTCCATTAAATAAAATAGCTTAGGTTGCACAAGGCCTGGGCGCCCAGCCTCACCCTGGCAGGCCTGCAGCCTAGCCCCTGCCCTAATCAGACACCCGCAGGCAGGGAGGGTGTGTCTGGGAGGGCTCTGCAGTGACTTTTGGGCAGGGGATCGGCCTCCTTGGCAGGCCCCAACCTCAAAGGCACCTGGGTGCCCAACCTAACCTGCAGCAGTCGTCCTAAGGCCAGCAGAGGTAAGGGGGGCAGCAAGGAGGCAGGGCCCCAGCGGTGACCCAGGGGAGGCATGTGGCCAGATTTGGGGTTTCAGCGTGTCCTCTTCCATGTCCCCTAAAGCAATACCCTTATTCTTTTCCCTCTACAAAACAGGGAGGCGGGGGGGCAAACAGCTCCCAGCCACAATCCCTCAGAGGCCCAAGGGGAAGGAGGAGGCGGTTGGGAGGGTTCGGGTGGTCTCTCAGGCCAAGCTGGTACCTTTCTGCTTATAAGACCTGTGCTTGACAGCACCCATCGAAGGGGGAAGGGGTGGGGTGTCCAGCCAGGTTTCTGGTGACAGGGAGGGGCCTTCATGAGGAAGGGGCCGGAGGAGCTGTGTCTGGTTCTGACCCTGTGTCTGTTTCCAGACAATGGGGTCTGTGGTTGAGGCCGTACCCCCTGAGCGCCCCCAATAGGTCCTGCGAGCCACTCTGAGGGAGAAAGATGAGACTTTAGCCCCACAAAGTGTTAAAGTCTTGGGAACCCACAGAGGCACTGAGGTCTGAGACTTAGGCCACGCCCCCAGGGGGGTCCCCCAAGAGTCCTGGTCAGCAGGGGGGCAAGCACGGAGTAGCGTCTAATGAACGTTAGTTGTTGCTGATGAGGCTGGGGTGCTGCTACCAAGATAAGAGGGGCCAGGGTGCGCACGGGACAATCAGAGGGTGGCAACTTCTGGGCGGGGCTTATCTGGCCCAGGGCAGCTTCTGGGCGGGGCTTATCTGGGCCGG